CATTTGTGTTTGCATATTTGTTGATGTTAAGTTTGTAGTTGTAAAAATGGATTTGTGACTAGTGCAGTCAATCTTACCATTTCTGTTTGCTTATTTGTTGATGATAAGTGTATGGGTATAAAAATGGATTTGTCACAGCAAATGGGCAAACAATAATCTGTGAAATAAATATGCTTATTTGTTGATGCTAAGTAATGTTGGTTAGGTTAACTAGACAATTGGTACAAGTGTTCCTTTTATCTTATGTTAATTGGTCTTGTATTTGTCAATGCAATTTGGTATCTCGAACTAATTTGCTGTTGATTTGGTTATTTTGTGGTTGCGTTAGTCTTGTTTGATGGCAGGCAAGAATAGAGGAATCTGTCATAGTTGTAGACAACCAGGACACACGTTGTTGGAATGCTCCAATAAGAGAGCATGTCCAAAATGTGGCGAGAGTTTCGTCAAATGGATGGAGGTGGAAAAGAATATTGAAAACATGGGAAAGATGTTCCATTGTTGTACTTGGGACTGCAGGTATTTCAAGTGGAGTAATGTTTTGCCCACCGAAGAATATCAGTTGCATATTGAAGGTGAATCAAGTGGTGTCCCGAAGCCTAAAGATCGGTTCGATGATTTGTCGCATATGTTCAAAGAATTGACTAAAGTGTCTACTAATGAAGATGACTTGGAGATTTCGTTCAGCATAACTATTTGCAAGGGGAAACGAGTTTTGGAAGGCAATGACAATTGAAGGAAAGCTACCGTGTAATGTTAGTGTAGGACTGTGTATGATGTAGTTGTTTATGGATGTAATTTGGAAGTTGATGGTTATGTGTACTGTAATGGTGTAGGTTTGTTTAAAACTGGTTTGATTCAATGAGAATATCTTTTGGCAAAGATAATATTGCTCATGTCATTTATAGCTTTCATATGTGAAAATTTGATATAAACTGGTAAAAAGATAATATCTCTTGGTTGCTATCTCTTCCAATTAATTTGACAAATGCATGTAAATTGGAACATGAATATCATTTTTATGGACCTCATTTAGTTTATCAATCACACATTAGTACTTAAATATCACTACGATGCAGAGACACAAGATTTTTCTCTAGGTGCGTCCCAATATATTATTAGCCATTACACCCCCAAATACACCAATGCAATTCTAAAATCTACTACCCGATTCAGAAATTCAATTTCTAGATTTAAGTTCAGATTAAACTTTGATCATTAACAATGATGTAAGAGTTGATTACACAATCTGAAAAATCTTACAATACTAACCAAATCCAGATCCAATAATATCAAAATGTCCCTTAGAAGATTCATGGTTAATTACCAAATAAATGAACCATTGAAATTGACGGAATTTCCCAGATGGGGTGGGGGGGGGTGGGGTGCATTACACAATCTGAAAAATTTTCATTATTATATTAGAATTCAACTCAACCCAAATATTAAATCAGAATTCAACTCAACCCACAAAAACGTAAACAAAGAAAATGATACAAAACCAACATGTGGCAATGATCCCTGCAAAATTGATAATCTTGAACTAACTTGAAATAAAGCTTGGATTTACACTATTACACAGGAACTCAAATGGTGAAAAATCAAATCTTGTGATTGAGGCTTAAATTGGGTGAAACAAGAAAACCCTAAAGAAATGATAAACTGAAATCCCATAATTTATTGCAATAAAGTCAAGTCATGTGGGCAAGTCTTCCAAGTACAAATTTCATGGGGGGAAAAAGAGTGCAAAAATTTATAATAATATTCAGCCCCCCAACATCATCTTTAGCCCCAAAAACTTACATAACGCCTAAGAAGAACACAAAAACTTATACAATCGATAATTAATATTGTACATAAATTCACATAACCGGATTTGTCTACATTGCACATCATCATCTTTTGCCCCCCCCCCCCCCCCAAAAGAAATCCTGTAGCTATTTATTGATTTCCATCACAACACTTCAAAGCTATCCCGTGTCCTAACATCTTCAGTGGTGAAACCCCTTTGTTTTGCCTTTTACACATGGGCACCTGTATAACATGGGAAAAAAATTTCAACAACTTTGCAAGCTAAAAGTATGTTGCAAAGCTTGAATGAATTTCATACCTTTCGAGAACTTTTAGATTTACTCGAACTAGTTTCTAGATGGCCCTTTCTACGAAGTTTTCTAGGGACTCCTTTGCGTTTCGTGTACTTTGGATCCAATATGCTTCTGCTAGCACATGCTATCGAGTCAACACATTGAGAGCCCACATTAATACACTTCGACTAACATGCTTCTGTTGTTTCGAACATGATCAAATCCATAATTCTCCTAAATCGTTGTTCGTCATGTGCTATCACATCTGCTAACTTGGTAAACGTATTGCATAGTTGCTCATATCTAACCTGCTTGGCGCTACTGACAAAACCATCATATTTGACGGGAACCCTCATGTAAGGTCGGTTCACATCTCGTCTCCACCTCTTCAATATATATCTCTCCGAAATTAACACCACATCGTTACCGATTAAAACTGAGATTGCATGCTTGCAAATAATTCCTCTAAACTCAAATAAGTGGCAACTACATTCAAATTCACAATTTTCCCTACGAAATGAAACTGAAAAAAATTTGTTTCTTCATGCCTTCATTGCTAATGATATCCTCACGAACCTCGTAAGTGGAGTAAAATATGAGTCCTTCACAGATAAGATCTCACAATACACCTTCCCCGTAAACTCTTGCTGGAACTCTTTGAACTTAAAGATCGTGTACACTGATTGAAACTGTTTCTCCATATCATACATTGTTGCACAAGGGACCATCTGTGAAAATGATTTGAAATCAGTTTGAAACTCTTTTTCAACTTTACTTCTCAATGCCCGCTCATATTGTTCTACAAATTGCTTCAGAGAAGTTTTTGAATGAACATTTCCGTCAAAAAAGGCATTTATGCCCTCGCTTCATTGGATGGTCGACATACCAGCCCAAAATGAATTTTTCAAATAACATGGCACCCAACACCTTCTATCATTGTAAAGTCTAATCAACCAACCATGTTCTTGCAGTTCATAATGTACAAGCATCGTATGCCATTTTTCCTCAAACTCTGGAGGACTTTGTGTATCATACACCAACCCGTGTACACTAGAAAGAATAGAATTTTTGTACCTATGGTTGCCAAAGTTTTCTAGCAACTTCTTTAAAATATGTCACAAACGCCATTTGTGTCTCGTGTTTGGGAAGATGATCTCAATTGCATTTTGCATAGCCCGATCTTGATCCGTTATAATTTCATTTGGAGCTTGACCGTGCATGCATTCCAATCATGTCTTAAATAACCATACAAAAGTCCAAGTATCTTCATTCGAAATTAGGCCGCATCCAAGAAGTGTTGATTGGCCGTGATGATTAACTCCAACAAATGGAGCGAAGGGCATATCGTACTTGTTGGTCAAGTATGTGGTGTCAAAAGTGACCACATAACCAAATTCTTTATAGGATTCTTTGCATCTGTTATTCGCCCAAAACACATTCCTCAACCGACAATCTTCATCCAAATCTATACTAAAATAGAAGCCAGGAGTACTTGTTTGCATTCTTGAGAAAAAGACTTGAATTGCAGTGGCGTCTCCCTCACCAAGCCTTAACCGTCGCACTTTGTTAGTAAAATTTCTACAATCTTTTTCAACGCACGCCATCTTGTCATATCCACCGGCTTCAACTACAACGGAGTTAAAGCTTTTGTGCAATGGAATTTCAACAATGCCATTTATTTCAAGCTGTCTTCTGATGCGAGCACTATTAAATCGATATAACCTCGATTTAGATGGGCTTGTTCTATGATTGTGCTCGAGATAGATAGTGTTAATATGCCATGTTCCACCTATCTCCGAACATGCTGTCACCCTCACTTTATATTCAGTTTGGATTGTTGGCTCCAGTTTGGATTGTTGGCTGAGGATTTAAAGAAGAACTTGTAGCAGTGGTTCGTCATCCTTCTCGACTACATGCGAAGCATACATATCGTACTATCCCGTCTTCACCCTTCCTTGAATTTCTTTTTCTGACAGGAATCCCGACTTGGTATGCATACTTCTTGTAAAATTCAAAAATTTCATTTTCGTCTTTGAACTTCATTCCGGGCCTTGGCACAATAATGTCAATTCCTTCATAACCTGCACATAAATTTCCTCAAACCAAAAACATATAAATGTCAAAGAAACCCCCCCCCCCCCCAAAATAAAAAATATATATATTATGTTAAAAAAAAAAAAAATGGAGCCAGATAGCCGTTGATACAATCCATACAATAATAAGAGATTTCTTGTCATAAATAACATTGCAATGTATGGACAGTAAAACTGTAATCAACAATGCATAGAGCGAGAACAACTTGGAATTTGAGAGAGCTTCCATTTTTTGAACTACAGAGACGAAAACAGGGTTTTTTCTTTTCCTTTCTTCTTTTGAATGGAAATAAATGTTTGAAGAACTAAAATGAATTACACATTTCAGATCACTGTTCAGTTCAATAATGTGCACAATGTAAGATTTTTAAAAATACAAAATAATGGGTACCTGAGTTCTCTTCGCCATCAAAATCGTCGGCTCCGATCTCGTCGACCTCAAGATCGTCGACGTTGATGTCATCACCTTCGACTAATGGGTAGGTGTTTTCATTTTTGCTCACTCGAGAAAACGACTCACTTGCAACTGATGGGGGAAAATGTGTTGGGCTCAAATCATTGTGCTCGCCGGCGTCGAATCTTCGATTTCGTCAGCCTCATTTTCCAAATCTTGTGACGGTAAGTTCTCCCCATCTTCCATTTTTTTTTTTTGCCTCTAAAATGAAGTCGAAGGATACGTGATGGAGGGAAGGGTTTCTTTAGACAAATCTGATTTTTTATTTTTATTTTAATTAAGCGAGAAATTGACTCAAAAAATTTTTTTGACCAAGAAAGACGCCAGCTCAACAAGTGTAAAGCATTATGTAATGTATTGTGTACTTGTATACTAATCCATTTTGAAAACATCGGTGCACCAACAAATACGACAGAGGACATAAGTGTCATTACAGACAAAGTCGTGTCTTTTTCTAGTCATTTTAAATCCCCAACCCCATTACCTTCACTCACTCACACCTACACTCTATGCTCCCTGCATACCTTCCCTCTGTCTGCAAACTTCACTTCAATTTTTCGCTCTAGAAAAAACCCGAAAATGAGCGCCCGAACCGGATCACACCAGCTGAGTAATGGACTCTACGTGTCGGGTAGACCCGAAGAGCAGCTCAAGGAACGCCAGCCGACAATGGCTTCACGCGCCGTCCCTTACACCGGCGGCGACGTCAAGAAATCCGGCGAGCTAGGAAAAATGTACGGTGTTGGGGTTTCAAGTGGAGATCAACTAGGTCCACCTAAGCCCCCTTCCCGCTCCGGATCCCAGCATAATAGCGGATCTGCCAGATCCGGCCTGAAGCCCAACTCCGGGCCTATGAACAAGAAATCATCGTCTTCCTCGTTTTCTGGGCCTATGACCCCAATTCAGCCGACAGGCCTTATAACATCCGGTCCACAGGGATCGGCCAGCTCTAACCGTCGCTCCGGCCAGCTTGACGCGCCGTCCAGGCATACCTCATTCAACAAAGTTCTGCACGGTTCAGCAGTGACAAACTTGGGGGATAAGGTGAAATTGGGGTTCAGGGTTTCCAGGGTGGCAATGTGGGTGATGTTGGTTGTGGTGGTCTTGGACTTGGTGGCAGCGGCGTTCCTTATGGCCACGGTAAAAAAGCCAATGATTTTGGTGGGTGTGGGAGCAGTTTTTGTCCCCGCTGTGGTGATTCTGATATGGAATTACGTGTATATAAAGAGTGGGGTTTTAGGGTTTTTGAGGAAATACCCTGATGCTGAGCTGAGAGAGGCTATAGATGGACAGTACGTCAAGGTCACGGGGGTAATTTTCAGAATTTCCCATACTTATTGTTTCGCATTTGATTCAATATTTATGTTGCATCTTTTTGTGTTAGGTGATGTTAATGGTTTCAGTTATTTAAGGCTTTTTACTGATATTTAAGATACATATAATAAAATACATAATAATGCTATTCAGCTCTACTCTAGGTAGGTGGCAACTGCCTGATATCCATTAACTTAAATGCAACGTCACATTGTTTATTTAATTGAACATATCAAATGTGGCCATATAGACTGATTTTATAACAATACTTGTGCTAGATAGCATTATTCATAAAAAAATTAGGTGATGTGAACTCCAACAGTCAAATCAAACCATGGTCTTTATTGAATCAAATACGCTACTCATTTTTTTTTTTAATTATTGTGTGCACATATTTAGAGAGAGAGAGAGAGAGAGAGAGAGAGAGAGAGGAGTCTTCAACTCTTCGTGTTGTATTAATGTTACCTCTGCATGTGGTTTTTTCCTGTCTTGGGTTTTCACGTAAATCTTGGTGTTTTTTATTTTGTTTTTGTGTATTTCATTATTGTCATAATCTTCCGGTCAAATTCGCAACACTTCGAAATGGATGTTCTTTTTTAGATGGAGAGAGGATAGTATCCTCCAGTGGTTGGTTGATTGGGAATGTTATCTTAGAAATCGCAGCAAGACATCCCATTGTCCTCAAGACTTGTTGCTGCGTCAAACTGAGCTCGAGCGCAACATGCTACTGGCTTCTACATTTTTCTGGTTTGGGATTGTTTTGCTCCCATGTACTTGTGCAACTAAGGAAAAGATTCAACCCTATAAAGAATTTTAAGGATTTAATGCTTAAGCCAATGGATAATTGGCTAGGCAAATTAAATGGTGCTCATGTGGATCTTGAGGAGAGCATAACATCAACGACCTCACAAGCTTGATGCATGAAGTCTTAATTCTAAGCTATAAAGAACGTTAGGAGCATCGAGAACACTGGGGCTATAGAGCAGGCAAAATTTGACCTTTTCAATGGATTCTCTGTTCTGCCTTGATATAAAATTCCTTGAGTTGAAATAATTTAGTCATCCTCTAAATAATTTACATGAAGTAGAGCTATTGGAATCTGAGCTCTAAATTCCAGTTTTATTACTCCTAGTTTTTCTCTTTAACAAGAATGAGTTGAAACATTTATGATTTAACAATGTAAACAGAGATGCAGATGAGAAATATGGATAACACCTCTCCCAGTCTCCCACCCCCACCCCCATGAGTATATGCATGTAGATTGCAAGTTTGCAACAGTCAATGCAGCTCAGTGTCGAGGTTGCGTTGAAATCCTTGCATTCTGAATTACTTGTATTAATCTAATGGTTAGCTTTTTTTCCACAGGTCGTCACTTGTGGTAGTATACCTCTTGAGTCTTCGTTTCAGAGGGAACCGAGATGTGTATATGTTTCCACAGAATTGTATGAATACAGAGGATGTGGCGGAAAACCAGAAAATGCTAAGCAGCGCCTCTTTTCTTGGGGATGCAGGCACTCAGAGGTCAGTCTGTTGAACTCATTGAGGAATCAGATTGGAATTTTATTAGGCATATATTGCTTTTTGTGAATTATATATATCATTTTGTGGCATACCCCTGAACATCCATTCTGACTCACTCACGTCAAGCATATAAATAATTTCTAATTTTTTAGTATTACATTCTAAAATGCGTATAAGCTTCATTTTGAATTTTTCTGGTGGTCAAACCCAACAGTGATTCCCTGATAAGTGATGCCCATTTTTCTAAAAAAAAATTAATGGCTAATTCCAGTTGATTTCACTTTGTTAATGTTGCATTGCATCTTTAGTGGATTTCCCAACTCAGAATAAGAACTTATCCTAAAATTCCTTGGTGATTTTTGATGTCAAATACTTGTTGGGGTGAAAATTATTCAATTTCACTTTTCGACATTTTCCCACAACTCTTGATGTAAAGACCTTCGAGTAGCTTGGCAATTGAAATGGATTTAAGGAGCAGTAACTTGAGGGCTCATATCAATCTTTTGTGTCGTTTTGAATCATTTTTAGCCTTTGTTTTGTTTTTTTTTTTTTTTTTTTTTTTCTTTGCTAAAATATAAGTTGGTAGAAATGAGTGATGGATGGGTGGTACTTGTGAGTCTTATGAAATCCGTGGTTAAAATTTATGTTCGACTTTCAAAATGAACTTTTTAGCCAAAAAATAAAAATAAATAAATAAATAAATAAATAAAACAATTCCTAAACAAAGGCTCAAGGATAAACGACGCCACTGTTGAAATCTATTCTTTGTTTCCTCCCTCTATTAACAGAACTATGTTGCGGACTTCTATATATCAGACTTTCAGTCCGGTTTAAGAGCTTTAGTAAAAGCAGGCTATGGTGCTAAAGTTACTCCATTTGTCAAACCAACCACGGTGGTCAACATAACGAAGGATAAGAAAGAGATGTCTCCAAACTTTCTAAGCTGGTTGGCTGATCGAGGTTTGTCAAGTGAAAACTCTATAATGCGCTTTAAAGAAGGGTAAGATACTGCTCATTTATCAAATTGATATCATGCAAATATTGACATCTATAGACTTCTATGACATCATTTTGGGTGCAAGTCACTTATTGAATTTATTGAATCATGGACATAATATTGAAATGGAGGATATCAGTTCTGTATATTGTATGTTATGTTCAAACCTTACAATCCAGTTTCACAAAATCAGGTTAAAACGATATAGAACAAAAAAAATATTGCACGGCGCTAGACCAGAATCTGAAAATTTGGCAACACATTATCTGCAAATCATGGAATTTTGGTTCATTCCACATTCAGGATCAATATCTAGAATCTTGAAAGGATAGTTTTTAGACTGTTAATCAAGAAGGTAATTTTACCCCCCATCTGAGAAGATAAAATGGTAATCACCACCAATTTCTTAAATGCATGTTCGGTAATTTAGGTTGGATATCAATGCATAGCATTAAAGTTGACAAAGAAGTTAAAATTTTGTCCGTTTTAGTAACTGCCTAGTCGAGCTAAATCCGTTTCCATTGTTGTACACTCGTGTACCAAACCTGGAAACCCTTCCTGAAGCGCAACTGATTTCATAATTTGTCTTTGTGCTGCAGTTATATCAAAGAAGGAAGTACCATTAGTGTGATTGGTGTTGTCCGGCGCCATGATAATTTGATTATGATTGTCCCCCCATCAGAACTCATGTCAACTGGCTGTCGCTGGTCCTGTTGCTTACTGCCTACTTATATTGAAGGCCTTATTTTGACATGTGAGGAAAATCAGAATGGTGATGCAATTCCTGTATAGGAACATGAACGTTAACATTGGATTGCAAGTCACAAGTAGATGATGAAATGGTGGGGTAGATGGAAGAAGGATCATTGCGAGACTGTAGATGGCCAAGGCGATGAAAAAAGCGTAAGGCGATGAAACACTCATATTTGACAGCACTCGTTTCGATACACACCGGCCACTGATATTTGAAGGGGTAAAAGGAATATCTGGAGCCAGTTACGTTCTTGATTTTTCTGCTGCAGCTATCATATGTGCATAAAGTAATTATGGTGCCCGTTTCTCTTCTAATCTATATGAATCAACGATCATTTTCGGTCTATCAAATATGAAATTTTAATATGATTCTGTTGTCATTATACGACAACCAGACCCGAATGATGCATAGCATGCTTTTCTGCCTCCCGGATGCTTCTGTGCTTATGAACAAATTAGTTAACAAAATATAAACCCGAGTCCTGCAGAAATTCTTAGAGGAAAACAACCAAGAAGAGATCACATAGTTTATGGTCAGTGCTTCGGGTAGGGGAGAATCTTATTCATCATACTCTGGGAGGCAAATTGTAAGAAGGAAATATTCCAAAGAAGAGCAAATTAAAGGACAAGAAACTACAGCCTGGAGGGCGTTCCTCCAGCAACTACCAAAATTTCTCCGGTCACATAAGAGGCATCTTCTGAAGCCAAATAGGCCGTTGCTGCAGCCATATCTTGTGTTGTTCCTAGCCTGTTGAGCAATGCCTTTTCCTCGAGGTTCTTCCTCTATAAACAAAACCATGATGTGGAATAAGCTCACGAAAAGCTGAGTCATAAAATTCAGATGAATTAATTAAGATTAGCATCAAATGGCTAGGGAAACCTTACCATGCTTTTATTGCTTGTGATAGCTGAGGCAAAGTGCGTGGGAACAAAGCCCGGTGCAACACAATTTACACGAGTATTTGGGGCCATCTCAGCTGCAAGTGCCTAAAAACAAGCAAAACTCAAATAAGATGGAATTAATTGGGTTGTAAAAGTGAGATAAACCGAAATGTAGTTCTACCTTTGTGAGCCCAAGAAGGGCGGTTTTGGTCACCCCGTACATAGCCAAGGCCTCAGAGGGTTGGTAGGCAGCTATAGAAGAAATGAGAACAACTGATGAACCCTTCTGCAAGTGAGAAGCTGCTTCCTGCCCCCATTAAAAATGCACTATCAACAAGGTAAAAAATTGCAAATAATCTACGTTACATTTAAAACATGACCAAAACAAAAAGATGGCGAATGCCAACAGTGCATTAAGCAAGCCCATTATGTCCTTTAAGACAATTGATATACTGTATATGGACCTTAATCTCATTGAATGGACTTACTTGCATAAGAAGAATAGACGCTTTCACATTGATCTCCCATAATTTATCGAGGACAATTTCTTTAGTTTCCAAGATGGCAGTCACAGCAGGGTTTGCAGCAGCATTGGACACGATTACATCCAGTCTCCCATATCTCTGCAAGTAAAAGAACAAGGTCCATGGGAAGAAAATTTCAATCTCTATAATTATATCTTAAAACAAACAAGGGAAAACAGAATGTTTTCTATAATATATCCACATTTAAGCTCTAAAATTCCCATATTCTGTCTTCAAATTTAGATTTCAGTTTAGAATAAGAGAAAAACAAAAGGAAATAAGCAAATACAATATAAATTCAAGAATAATTAAATACTCTGAAGCAAGTAGCCAAGACATGATGACATAATCATGAAAAGGAGGTACCATTTCATAATGCATAACTTGCATTTAAGGCCAATTCCCCTTGTCGATGACTACCTCCGAGGCAACATAACTTGGTGCAGATTAGTCATTAGCGAGAAGCAAGGACCTAACCCTTGGCCACATTAGATGGCTTCTCGACACCGAGGCGGTTAAGTTTGAAGCCTAATAGTAGGACGGTTGTAACTTGACAATTTAAGCCACATGCAATGTGATTGATGCAATATCTCTACAAGAGCGATTGGGAATCAAATTCCCTCTTTCCCGCCTAGAATAGCGTGTGTGAGGTCATAGGCCTATGATAACTAGGACTTGATGTTTTGGTACTGTCATGTGAGTCAAAATTTAATGTGGTAGGTGAAAGGCAAAGAACAACTTTATTTTTGCTGCAGTAGCCCAAAGAAATAAAACCCAAATGACAGGATAGAATTGGATTAATTGAGGTTTTAACATCTTCACATTAGAAAGCACATCCATGTTAGTAGGCTCATGAACAAGAAATTATCTAATGAAACTAACCATACATATAAAATATGGTGAGGGACAAAATAATAATAATAATAATGAAAATATATGTTTCATTTATTAATTATACTTATAAGTTGTAAAATATTTATTGACTATGAAATAGATGTTATTATCAAAATAGGTAACTTGCTCTATATTTAATTTTATCTGTAGAAAAATATTTCTTAAAATTTTATTTATTTATAAATTAACATTATTAAAATTATATTATTGAAGTGAGTCAAACAAGAAAGTGAAATGAATCCAATTTCTTTGAACTCTCGATATTCTTAGTCAATTTTTCTTACTTAAGGTGGAATTAAAATGTGTTGATATAGAAGACTAATGCCCGTATTAGATAATATTTTCAGAACGATATATATTGACTAAAAACCTTTAATAACTGGTATGACTTATTGTTCTTTTTAGGCCCTGAGTCTCATAATAGTCGGAATATGTTTTTCTTTATCTTTTGTTGGTGGGTATACATTATTTGTTCATGTCCATCATACTTTCGCACATTTTATATTTTCTAGGGAGGTGTTAAGATTTTTTATTTGGCAAGAAAAGCTACGAAAATTTGGTAAAACATATTAAGGATTGATATGTTTATGCTTATTTGAATATCTGACTCACTTTGTACTTTGTCATCAATGTCATAACTTTAGTTTTTTGAACAATATTTGGTGTGGCGTGGAGCATATCTCATGGCATGAGTTCATCGATTTTTATTTATTTTTTATTTTAGTCCATCTTAACATCTTTTCCTGACTCTGCCCCTGGATGAGGCCATGTGTAAAGCATCTCAAACTCATTCATTTGCCTATAAATACTCACAATAAAAAGGTATTGAAGAGTTTTGTATTCACTCTAAAAATAAAAACCTCGTTTTCCTTTTTTGTGCTTCTCCCACACTCAATATACTTCGTTGTCCTTTTTCTTACTTGAACGTGTAGGATTGCAGTCTTCCCACCTTTGTTCGGAGAGGTATCAGACTTGCTCCTTTAAGGAGAGCATTCCAAGTGCAAAGATAACTGGCATGTGGAAGAGAGTGGAGATGGATTTATTGGTGAGCTGGATACCATCCAAATTGAAGGTCAACAGAGTCATGCTACTTGTACAACTTTGTTTGACAACTTCACACTTGACATCATTACGTTCATTCATTTTAAAAACTCTTTTTTAAATCAATGGCTGGATTTTGACAACACCAAGGTTGTCAAGAATGATTGTCAACAAGTATTGTACAAATAGCTTAATTCTCTTCCTTAATACTACTATTCAATTTCATATAGACCACCCGTATCAAACAACCATGAAAGGATCCGACTTGATTAAAATTACAGTAACAAAAGTTAATTCACATTATCACCTGAAGGGTTTTCTGTATCAGGTTCTTTCTTTGTTGTGCATTAGATACATGGCATACTATACCGAGCACTTCAATTCCCCGAGCCTTGAGTTTTTCCACTGCTCCATCAACGTTTTTCTGCAGCCCCACTTACACAACATATGAATACAAATAATCAAAAAAAAAAAAAAAAGGATTTGATTGAGAAAATTCAAGAAATCCAGGCTAACTAATTATTAATATCTTAATTAAAATATAAATTTCTGGCAAGATCTGACAAGTAAATATTTAAACTTAATTAAAATTTTCAACACACCAGATGAAGAACTGCGTAAAAAAATGAGGGGAAAAATTCAAGGAAATAAAGAAAATCGCATACTTGTTTGCGAGAGGAGACAACAACGGAAGCGCCTTCCAATCCAAGACGCTCTGCAATGCTGTAGCCGATGCCCTGAGTCGAAGCCGTGACTATGGCTACTTTCCCTTCAAATCTTCGTCCAAATTTCTCCATTTTTCCTTATTTTCTTGTTTCAACAGCAGAAGTATATTTCTTTTAAGGTTATAGTAATTTATCCAATTTTTAGAGTTCTTGGGAGTGAAGAGGGCACGACGCAACAAACGATCACAATCGTTAGATTTAGAACCGTTGGATGTCAATTTCTTCTTTAGATTGATCAAATACGGAGTTCATAGTTTACACAGAGAACCTTTAATTTATAGAATTATGGATTTTAAATACATCAATAGTTTGCGATCTTCATCTTGAAAATGGCGTGTTTAATTGCTAAAAGTTCAATTTTTGCGTAAAATAATTATTGTAACTTAACTTTGAATAAATAAAAAAGAACGAAAACAAAATCAAAAGATCGGGAAAAAAATAAATAAATTGTGATAGAGATGGTATTGATGACAAAGAAGGTGAAGCGAAGGAGTTTGAACCCCTCTCATCTTATTTGACAAATACAACGGGACTATTATCCACCACTGTTCTAAAAGGCAACGTCGCCAATGTGTGTTGCACGGTGGAAATGTCAAGCCATTTATTTAGTGGTCAACAGTAATCGTTGACCATTAATGCATGCCTAATGATTATTATTATTATTATTTAAAAGTTATAATTCAAATGTTGATTTCTTCACTTTGTTTATTCTAAATTCAAAATAGCTGCTTGAAACCTTGAATAAAGAAGATCTCCAAAAAATGTCTATTTATTTATTGTTTAATATTTACATTTGGAACTTATCTTTTTGTTGAAAACTTTGGAAGAATGTCTAAATTTCTACTAAATTTGTTTTAAATGTTTGGTTGGTATTATTTTTAATTATTAAAAGATTTTTTGATTGATTTAAAATTTAAAAAATATATTAAAATAAGAATATGCCCTTTTAGGCTTTTTTATGCCTATGCCTTGCTTTAGCTCTCCCAAATGTATCATAAGCTCACGTCTCTCTAAATTTGTTCTACTGTGACACACAAAACAGATGCTTGACTTATTACCTTTTAGTCTTTACATGAGATGAAAATATTAGGCTGACTTAGTCTTTGTTTGAGCCCCATTCTGGGATAAAGAATGCATTTTAAATGGTAGATTGATGGAGAATGTGTGATTAAAAATTAAGGAAAAATTTTGAGTTTGTGTGAAATATTATTTTATTGAATAATAGATGGCTGTAACTAAATTTCACATAATCATCATTTTTTGCCCTGACCCCACGCCCTCGCTCTCGCTATTTACCTGACTTCTTGTAACCAATAATGTGAACATTTTCATTGCTGCTGCATAAGGAACTGTGGTCTTACAGACAACTTATCTTCACTGTGGAAAAGTGTAAAAATTCTACTGATAGCATTAACATTTTGTCGTTTCGCTGAGGAAAAGCACCCCAGATTTCCAGCTTCACGTCCCACAATACTCAAAAGCAATGTAAATTGAATCATATATTGTTGCTCTTCAAAACAGACAGCAACATTTCTGCACATTAGTAAAAGGATGAAATTAGATCAAGTATCGAATTTGGATTTTTGAAGCTTAAATGGTCACGGTCATGAAGGCTTGGCATAACCTTTGATCTAGTAGTCTTCTTGTTTGGACTGGTTGGATAATCGTTGGCAGTTTGTAAGGGCACGGGAGAGAATTTAGCAGCCGCTATTTGTTTTTCCTCTTTCACTTTGTTGAAGATGACGGTGAAACCTTCCCCTGATCTAGGGTCTCTTTCGTCCCATTCACCAAATTTTGGAACAGATGCTGATTTATAGGACTGCCACACGAGTTTTTCATTGCCAGATAAGTTTTCTGGAAATTACACTAGTATTCTATTAGATAGTCGAAATTACTTACAAAATCATCCGCATGATTCATTCTATTAGGCCCTGCTGATAGTGGATTGCTCCTGCTATTACTGCCAACATCCAAAGATTTATTTCGCTCAGATCTTCTACGCTGGTGCTTTGGCTTAAGGAATGAATTATCTGATGCGCTTTTATCGCTGCCTGATTCTGAAGCTGCGTTCCTTTGACGAACATACTGCTGAAAATTTCCAGCTGCCACCGATTTATCAGGACTAATACGGATAGATGCTGAAGCAGCACCAGAACGACTTCTATTTCCAAAATTGAAGGCCTCTGGATTCTGCTCCGGATCGTTTGGATTTATCATTACACCACCTGTTTTCTCTTTGCGGGCATTCTCGAAGTAAGCTGTATAGGGCACATTATCACCTTCCCAGTTCCCGAACTTAGGAACGTGTGATCTCTGTGAAATATCCAAATGCTACAGAAGATTAGTAAATTACAATACATTCATGGAAGATTCTGAGATATGAACAGAAATTTTCATCCTAGATCGGACAAATCATTTCCCAGCAACAGTATGAAATTTAGCCACGATGAGTGAAATGAGGATCGCACTGCCACCAAGACTGATGATGGTGAATACCATTATATATTATGCTCAGAACAAGAATAACAATACAATCTATAACATTTCAGTTTAGCACTGGAATTCAAGTGACTGGAAAATTGTAGTTGGGACGTAAAAAAATCTTATGAACATTTATTAACATTAAATTAAGAAAACTTGATCATAAATGAGAACGAAGAGGTAAATTGATTCAAACGCTTACAGCCATCAATCAGAAATTTTGTTCTTCCTCCTTCCACTGATTTCTGAGACAATGCTATTGACTACCAAGAGAAAAACTTGTCGTAGAAGAAGAGAAAACATGAAGACAACTGGAGTTTCCGCGTGGGTCCATTTCAAATTGGCGTTCAACATCATCTGAGATCTCAATGAACCCACCGGACAATTCTTTGAAAATTACGAAATCTGTTCGTAAGCAAGACAAAGTTTCTTTACTAAGCACAAAGGATTACGTCCTTATCACTCTGATCTTGACTGCATTTTTGTCACTTTTTCTGTGACAGGATCGATTGAGTGGCTTGACGGAGGATAACCGTTTGACGGAGAAACCAAAATTGAAATATTAAGAATTTAAATACCTAGAAAAAATTTGATTGGCACTTAACATTGGGCCCATATATCAAATTTCATATGGTCCAAAGGATTGGTCCAACAGTCCCAACAATGTGTCCCAAGAGAGATATGTCAAGCCCATTGGAGAGGGCCCAATAAGCCTAAATCCGACAAAAGAATATGCGCCAGTGTAAACCGGCGTATCTCTCCGCCAAAAAGGGACAAAGGGTTGATATTTTGCCAACACGCTTAAAATTTTAGTAAACCCCAATTTTTGCCATGAAATATCATGAAATTCCTGTGACTTTTCGCCTTTTGTTTACTGAGAAACCGACCCTTCTGAAATTCAATTTTAAATTTTTCTATACCTAAATGGGCGAGTATTAGATTATTGAGAAAAGGAGGGAAAAGTATGGCGATTTCTCTGTCTTGTTCTGTGGTTTCTCGGATTTCAATTTCATCGACGTACTCTTTTATGAAAGCAAATGAATTGGGATACTCATCGGTTCTATTGAAATCTGTAAACCCTTTTCGGTTAAATTGTCTGTCTACACTTACCACTTCTGCTGCTGCTTGTCATTCCAGGTACTTCTTATGTTTCATTTTGGTAATTTCTCTCTTGTTGTCACTAATAATTGAAGGGAGAAGTTGAGTTTATCTGGGTTGTGGATATTTCGATTGAATTTTTTCTTCGGGTGTCTGTGTTTACTGAAATGGGAAAAATATTTGAAAAACTAAGAAATGTGATTGAGCTTTTCCAAGTGTTATTTTTCCATTGATATGTGTGTGTGTTCAGATTTCCTAATCACCGGTATAAAGGCTCACGCATACGCACGAACATGAATTGTGTACTGCATCTGTGTTTCAGCTGTCAGTAAGAAATTAAGAATGAAAAATCTAGTTAAATATTTTTTTGATTAATTAGTCAGATTAAGACTTTATGATCCAATAGAACTCCGGATTTGGTGAGTTTATTATACTTGAATGGCGTAAAAGGCTCTCTTTTCAAATATCTTATGGTTAAGTGATTTGAAAACTGCCCACAAATACTTGCTTCTTGTTAATTTTCTGCCCCCATCCCCTCGCTTTCCTCTGCCATATGTTTATATTTTTCTTTGTGATTCGGAAGTAGAAAGCTGTTCAACGTTCGAGCGACAGTGTTGCAAGAGAATGAAGATAAAGTGATTGTAGAGGAATCATTCAATCCAAAGAGTTTTCCTGAGAAGGAAGGAAAGGGAAGCTCAGGGGAGCCACCTGACGATCCATCCTCCAGTGGTTTAGAGAAGTTGATTATAAAGTTTGAGCAATCTATAAATATTTTTCTCACGGTACACATCACATTAATTCAGCCGCTTCGGCCTGTAATTTTCAGTTAGAAAGAAACAAATCCTCTCTTTTTTGGGATTGACACTCTTCCTTTTACATACGATAACCTTCTATGATTGATACCAAAAATATTTTGACAGATAGTAAAACAACATTTCTAATTCAAATATGGTCTAAATCTGTGTCCTCTCGCTCTAAATTTCAGCATAAATTGATGATTGTATGTGGAAGGATTTAGTTTGGTGAAAATCGTAATGCTCACACCTAAGTTCTTTATTATGTCTTCTGTCAATTTTGTTGACACAGCTAAGGGGAGAAAGTGCACTTTTAGCAACAAGATATTATGTTGAACACTTCATTAATATCAGTTGTGGTATCTACTTTCACTTGTTTTGAAACATATTAACTTATTAATGAATTCTTTTTCACAATTTTCTGGACTTCTGTTTTTCATGTTTGACAGATTCATAAATTTTGGATATATATGAAGTTTATATGATCTGGAAATGTATTGTCATGTTATTGCTTTATTATTGTAAATATTGTCATATTACTATCCCTTGCACTATCACATCATGCTATTTCTGTTGTAATATGTTTCATGTACCACCATTTCAGGACTCAGTCATAAAGATACTTGACACCTTGTACCATGACCGCGATTATGCGAGATTTTTTGTTCTAGAAACTATTGCAAGAGTTCCTTATTTTGGTAACTACTGAAGTTCTGTATTGCTATAGTTGTTTTATTTTGTCTTAATTTCGAGTTGCTAGAAGTCAGAAACTCTTTTTGCACACACATTTCCACTTTAGCCCTTAAAATCCCAAAGGCAAGGGTACACTATATTGAGTGTTGTTCCAGACATGTTGCCTTAATATATATTGAGTTCCTATATGCACAACAGCTATGATCTGAGACAAAAAAAGAAAAAATGAAAACCGTGTTAACAATACAGAATATTATAATGTAAACTTCTTATACATTTCTTATGAGAACTGGCGGCTCTAATTTGATGTTATGGCAGCCTTCATGTCTGTGCTGCACATGTATGAGAGCTTTGGATGGTGGCGACGAGCGGACTATCTGAAAGTTCATTTTGCTGAGAGCTGGAATGAGATGCACCATTTGCTTATTATGGAAGTAATACTTTTATCTGAGCCTCTTCATCTCTCCTCCACAAACACTTGATAGGTTTATATATTGCGCTAATTTTAAAACAGGCTTCAGACACAGAATGCATCCAGTTGTATTATGGAATCGATGTCAATATATATTTATATTTTAGACAGTAAAAGATTTGCTAGAAGACATTCGTGAAGTATATATAGTTAATGATATGCTCGAAGGAGCTCTGGCATAATGCTACGTTTTCGGCAAACTCGGGGATTGGAATTTTAGTTTAAGAAGCTTATGATTTATAAATATTTTGGGGGGGGGGGGGGGGGTTTTTTTTAAAAACAAAAAAATTTAAAAAAAAAAAAAAAAAAAAAAGAAAGAAAAG